AGATCTAGATGCCCATAAAATGATGATACCAATAAATAATCCACAATATTTAACATTTTTCGCTGGACGATTCAGAAAATGCGTATTTTCTAGCAACTGATAGTGTCATAGTTAGATTTCTGAATTGAACCAAATAATTTTTGCATTATTTTTTTTTTATTATTATATTTGATATTTAATAATGGAGGCATTGTCTTTTTAAAAAAGGTATTTTAAAAATGTTGTTCTTGTTAACTCTATGTACACGTATGGTGACATATTTATCTAGATCTATATTGGTTATTTCAAAGCTCTCATTTGTGTTTTCTTTTCTAATAGATTTCCAATGCTTTGTAATCATTGTATTTATCTCCAATATTTTATTATATAAATTTGGAGCGAAGTTTTGAAAATTTGCCCCAAAAAATTGTTTTGAAATTAAGCATGAAGGTATCGTCAAGTGTCTCGCGTCTTGCTGGGTGGGAATGTTTACCCATTAGCAGTTGACGTTCTGTGTGACAACGTTTGATTGATTCCACTTTGAGATTTTTGTCACGTTCTTGTAGCCAGGTAAGAGAAAAGAGTTGAGGAATAAATTCTTTGCCATAAAAAAAAAAAATAAGGCTGAAGGTTTAGTTATGACGTTAAAATGGCTTACCTGGGTGGATGTTAATGTTGGCCAAAATAAACAATGTGCATTTTGTTTGCTGTTGTTACTGACAAGCAGGCATGTAATGGAACTTGTTGGAGGTAAATTTTCAGGTGTCTGGAAAAGCAGCAGTGGAATCTCTAGGATTTTAGTAAGTGGGTCAATGACTTTGGTTGCTTATTAGTACGATTGAAAATACTCTGAGGTCTTGGTTTAGATCGTATGAGCGTACACTGAAGCTTAGCAGGATTTCTGAGCATGTGTTGGTCTAATATTCTAAATTATTTGTTTTATTTTAATTGAATTCGTGCTTTACCCCAGAGACAGTTGTATTCATGTATACAGGCCCGAATTCCACATTCCACAGTAGCACCTGGAAAGCTCAAAATATTCTGGAAAGACAAGGACATAACCCAGAACACTAAACTCAGACTGATGCGCTCATCGGCCATGTCCACATTATTAGATGCGTGCGAATCGTCTACGCTAATTGCAGAACTAGGGAAGAGGAACCTAGCAATGGCATTGAGTGCTATAGAAGGATCTTTGGTATGGCCTACAAAGACCGCATCACAGCTGAGATTAGGAACAGGATCACAATGGATAAATTGGGCCCCACGATGACCTGCTGAACACTGTAAAAAAATAAAAATAAATCACAAACCTAGGCCATATAAAAAGCTCATCAGGTACTGCAAAAACCTTCCTTCAGGGAACAATACCACGAAAAAGAAGAAGTGGAAGGCAGAAAAGCAATGGAAAGACAACATCAAAGAGTGGACGGGCCATAAAGGAATTCTACTCAAGGCAATAGAGTTATAGAGGACGGTCGACAGAGCATGTGTGATGCCCCAATGGTGATACTGAGGTCAACAGTGAAGGAACGTGTTATGTAGTAAGTACAACAGCTCACCACATTTACTGTCTCGGATACTAGCTGCAGCATCTCAAAACTTATTTCCTATTACTTGAACACAATCGTTTGGGCAGCCACGCCTCTGACCACTGATCACGTAGACATCTCTTTAACTCTTTCTATCCGTATTTATTTTTCCACGTTTCGACGGATTTCTTCATTTTGCTCAATACTATTTCACTACCCTGTTATGATTAAGCTTCAATAACTTTGTCATTTCTTATCAGAAAATATTTCTTTGGTCTAGACTTAAAGGGGAATGCATGCTCTTTTTATGTAACACAAAATAAAGTTTTATAAAATTAAACACTGATTTAATTTAATGAGGTCAAATCGACGATGGTATCGTAAATTAGGAGAGAAAGAGTTAAGCCTCTTTGCTGATTGCATTTTCATGACACAAGCACATCCACCCACACGTGCACACACAAACATGTATGTCTATAGACAAGTAAGTGGGCATATATAAATAACAATACTATGGCTGCTGAGATAATAAAGTTTATTTCAAATATAGTTATCAGCATAACAAGTGTTATAAAGAGTAAGCATCAATATGACGAACCAGTGACACTGACTGTCTGACTGTCATGGGGTTTTGGTAAGACACGTACGATGACATCACAGATGACGCAGAGGATGACTACAAGGGCGATGAAATAAAACAGAGATGATCTTGGCATCTACACATGACATCTACACATGACATCAAGTCTATAACAGCATCGTATATAGATAGAACAAATTGTATGCATCCAATAACTACCGAGAACAGGCAACAGTTTCTTTCAATAGCCAATCATCTGAATCACATTTAAAACTGATCCATCTGAACTTAATCATTAGTCTTTGCGGACACTTTATGTGAAGGGGATTGAATCGAGTCAATATTGACAAGAAAATGCATAAATATTAATTAGATTATTCTCCCCCACAAATTGAGCTAGGGACTGTGGACACACGAAAGATAATTATTTTTATTAAACTTCTTTTAATAGGTTTGGTTCACTATTAGATCTCTATTTTGACTTTTTCAAATGATTGCGGTAATTTTGATTCAATTTATAGCATTGTTTTGGCTATAATGATCATGGACTGGGTTTATATGTACATATATGTACACATCAGATTGAGACCCAAGTATTCAACTTGATTTTAAAGGGAGGCTACAAGAGGAATTTCTTTAAAGGGAAACAATAAAATACAAAGGAAATTACTAACATAATAACTAACATAATATGGTCATTTAATGAGCACAGAATACAGTTAGACTGAATTGAAAGCATACTATACATACGTGCTAGACTACTTACACATGAGCTGATAATACAACTTCCAAGACTTCATTCATAGAATCTTCAGAAAAAAAAATTACAGTCTTTCCATCTTGCATAGTCACATATACGTTTTCATGAACATGCACAATACACAGTCACACACACACATTTATATATTGAGCCGAGTCTTTTTTTTTCCTTACCTAACGTGACATCCCCATATGATGACCTCTTCTAATTCGCAAATGTTAATTGTGATAATAAAAATTTCAACAGAGCACAATCATTCTTTGAATGAAACGGAGGTTGTTAAGAAGTAAGGGAAAAGTGGGTGGGTGGCTTGTATAGTCTTAGTTACTGTATGAAATTTAACTGTTAAGTATGTTTCATTTATATTCTACTCATCTGTATGTGGATTTTAAAGCCCATGAATAAATTAACGTCATGCAAACCCACCACAACGGCCTCGAATGTTTTAGTCTTAAAACCAGGACATAAGGAAAATATCTGGACTCTAGTGACCACTTGTCTATTAGGGACTGCTTCGCGAAACTGAAAGTCCAGGACCCTGGTGATCATTTATTTCATACACTGTGCTCAACATAAGGGAAGTAATTAGTCTGTGGTATTCATTCGTAGATATAGTCCTTCACAAAGACCAATGGGATATTGATCAATTAGACATGCATTTACGATGATCTTATCCCAAAGGAATTCATATCGTAATTGATCTTTTTTTTTAATTATTTTTTTTTTACCAAAGACATAACCATACCATTAAAAAGAACAAGCTGTTAAGTCCTACCCTTGCGACTCTAAACGACACGTTTTACTAACAGTACTACAAAGTCTCTTTTGCTTTCTGGAATGGCCTATCCACGAGCATTGGGTCCTGCTAATATCCTATTTTTTTTTTACCTTGGATGGTTCGATCCATTAGATCAGCCAGAGTGGTTTTTCCAACCTCTAATCTCAAGAGAGGGAGCGTCTCTTTTAGCAGAGACAAAACTCAATGAGTTCAACGGAACCACTTAATGCATTTCCAAGTTGGTACCCCAATATCCGGGGGAGACTATAAAGCTATTCAAAAGAGGACTTTCCATTAGCTGCTGGTAACTAAAGGAACTGTTTCTCTTACCACCCATTCCCCCACCCTCCGCTTATTTTTCCATCCCATCAAAGTCTCGTACACGACGCTGGTGGGGGACGTAGGGGCCGGAAATCTATGTGTTTATATTATCATCAATAATGTCTTTTTGAAAATATGTATAACATTGGTTTGCATTAAAAAATACTGTACATTTTATAATCAACCTTTAATCAAGTATCTTTCTTATCTGTAAGATTATTACAATAATCAAGAAACTTGTCTTATAGTAATAGAAGCACATTAATTAGTCGAGGATATAGTGTTATTATCTTCGATATTTAGTTTATTATTGTGCTATGAAATCTCAATATTGCACATGTATTTATTCGGTACATTTCCCAGAGGCATGTCACTTTAATCCTAACAAATACATTCATCTGCTGTTCTCTATACACTCATCCAAACAAAGCAGGCCGCGTTATGTACTCGTAGATATGTACACCATGAGGAATACACCATGCTATTTACATTTGTATAGAATCGTCTAAATTCGTCTACCGAGGAACGGTAATAATAGAAAGACTAAGGTTGTATCAAGTGACTTTTTGGTGTCAGAAGTAGAAAGGAACTGAACGTTTGGGGTCGGCCTGGATATTAATTAACTTTATTACTACACAAACACGCATTGTTCAGTGTAGATAATGAAGTAAAGTATAAGAGTGAAAATTCACATCTATAATGTGGAAATTCACATTTATGTTGTGCAGCGCTACATGTAGTAGAAAGCCAAATGTATGCCTGCTAGTTGCGGGTAAATAATAAAGATCAATTTGAAGATTGGCAACTACAGATCTGCATACTTTGAAAATGGTGCTAAAAATAATTGAAGTGATAAAACTATTTTTTTTTAAATCGGACTTTAGATTTGTAAAGTTCAATGCAATTTCATTTCCAAATAAAATTGTTATAATTCAAAGAGAATATATTGAGACAGTTTGAAAGAAAGGATTCAAATAATCTTATTTCTAGCTTTTTAAATATGCAATATATTAGGAAACCAAAAAACAAACAAACTAATAACATCAAAAGATTTTAAAATAAGTTTCATAATTTATTCTATATATGATGAAGTCAAATAGTTTTAGTAGGATATACACTTTGTATACAATACAATCTTAAACACTCCCGTTCGTGCCCAACCAATACCTCAAGATAACTTCATATCTTAAAATCTAAAAATAAAATAGCAACTAAATATAAATTGCCATTTAAGCCAAACAGACAATTATACGTCACCATATAACTGTGATTCGGTCAATGATTCATATACAGATGAACATGGGAAAATAACATTATGCATACAATAACAGAGACGTCATGGGTTATAGTGTTTGATACACTTAGTCATGGTTTTATTATTATATTTTAAGATATTTTATCCGTCATATATTTATATACACTAAACATTTTAAAAATAGATAATACACAACATACATTGCAGTGTTATGTAACAATAAGAAAAGAAACTTAGTACAGTCAAGACTCACTTCAACAGGTTATCCTCAGCACCAACAGTGTAGATCTTTAGCCTTACACCCTACAATGTAGATCTTTATCCTTTGACATAATAATGTAAATCTTTAGCCTTAGACCCTTAGATCTAATAAAGTAGATCTTTACCCTTTGGCCTAATGATGTGAATCTGTGGCCTTAGAGCCTTAGACCTAACGATGTAGATCTTCATTCTTACACCATACAATGTAGATGTTTATTCTTACACCATACAATGTAGATCTTTATTCTTACACCATACAATGTAGATCTTCATTCTTACACCATACAATGTAGATCTTCATTCTTACACCATACAATGTAGATCTTCATTCTTACACCATACAACGTAGATCTTTATCCTTAGACCTACCAACGTATATTTTATTTCTAACATATCTAATACAAGACAGCTTTAAAGTGTGATACGAGATGAAGATCTAGTCAAGACAGAAATGGCCAAGCGAGTTTTGACTGTACTTATTTTCTTTTCAGTGCTAATGGAATTTAAGGAATAATTTAGACCGTTTGGTTTATCGATAATACAATTATAGTGAATGCTGTTCAATAACGAGGATGTTAATTAAGTCCTATCGAGGCTGCTAATTAAAAGTTCTCATATTGATTGGTCAAAGGGACTTAACCAGTTAATGTCTGGGGAAAGAAAACGGAAAGAATTGTAATCTTAAAGTCAGTTGAAGCAACGTTAAAGGACAAGGATATCAAAGTGACTCCAGATAAACTGAATACACTTCCTTGGCTTGCTACGTGTAGACAGAAGTCACACCAGATAATAGAAAGTGTGTGAGGGTCAAAGTTCGAATCTGTCCATTATACAATAACTAAACTGACGCCTGAGAGAATTTACCCAAATACCCAAAAACAAAGAGATACTAACGAAAAAATAATTTTTGTGGATAACTGTAAACAATCGAAGAACAGACTATTCACTAATGTAAATGTAAAAATAAATCTATTCAAATATCATGTAAAAATATATTTTAAAAAATCAAATTATAAATAGAAATTTTGTGAATGTAATAGTCCACAGACAATCTTGCTGTGACATAGATGTTGAACACACAATCTTGGGGATCGTCTCCTTCGACAGCACCGTATCTTGCATATCTCCTAAGTAAATACAGCCAGGTGCATAGAGAAGTTGTATACGAATGGTTGTTTTTTTTTTATGTGTATTTCTGAAACAAGGCATTTAAGAAACAAAAAAGAAAAACTAAATATATTATATGATACAATGCAACGTCTTGTTTTATGCTCAGAATTCTTAATACAATAATAAGTCATGGATTAAATACAGGTGTTCACGCATAACCAAAGTTAAATTTGTATATATGAGAAAGTACTGGAAAATGTTTTCGAGTTCCATACTAGTCAGCAGTGTGGCCCTATAACTTGCAAGCCCGTTATTACTGCTGCCTGCTCCTCCTTATCGTTTGATCTACCCTTCATGTGGACTTTGGCACTGGCATGACCAACCGTAGCCTGGGAATTTGTAACTGTTAAATCAAGTGACGGGCTGAAACTAAATCATTGTATTGTTTGTTAAGCCATCTTCCAGAGTCACAAGAGAAAGTCGTCTGCCAACGATTCCTTCTTACACATTTCTATTAGCACACGCTTGCAATGGTCAGTGCATATTAAATAAATGACACATTAGGCCCTAAAACGAGTTATGCTGGAAAAAGAGAAGGAACCGGAGATCCTGCTGCCACCTGCTGGAAAATGGGGAAGCTGAGGAGCTCATTAAAACGTTTTGCCTCGACTCATTGTTGTCAGCATAGTTCCCATTGTCTGATCACAATCTTTGTTAACAGTTACCCCCAGTCAGAACACAATATTAAGTATACAATTCTTATACACAACTACCACAATGAACTTTTTAAAGATAAATATTCCATCCATATTCTCCCATTTTTATCACAGTTTTTTCTTGCATTTATGCATTGATTAGTATAATTTCGCAATGGGCTCTACAACTAAAACGAGTATACTGATAATCCAAGAGTACTTAATGCCCACAAAATAATTTCTTTTCCACCCGAATACATTTACAATTAGCCATCCAAATTTGATTGGTTGTTTGTTGAACCAATGTTCTTTCGAGATGAAAGACAAGTTTATAGGTCAGGACCACAAGTTTTGAAACAGAAATATTATTTACCATTTGAAAGATGGTGGAAATGGCACATTGACATTATTGAAAAAACATATGACATAAAGTCCAAGGACTTGGAGTATTTAGCGATGATCTTATTTCTGAAAAGTTGCAAGTCGAACACACACACACACACTGTGCAAATAGCATGCTTACTGTTGCATTATAATGAACCAGTGCTGCACTTTCCGTTTTTTATCAAGGTCAAGGTTACTTGCAGCTATCGTCTGGGTAAGTTGCCTAAAGATGGTAGTGGTGAATATTTCAAGCCTTTGCGACAGTTACTTAAACACCTACGTACGTAGTTTACATAGATTTACCATGTGGATAAACTCTATCATGTAACAGATTTCACCACAAGCGAGTTAAGAACAAAAAAATGTATTGAAGTTGCAACATGGAATCGATGTGTAAATACAGTCAGTTGTATTCTTAGCATGTTTTCTTAATTTTCTTGACAGGTTTTCCTAGGTTCAAACCTGTTTCAAACTCGCTTCATCTACGCTACTGCCCTCTTTTAAAGCAGGGATTTGAGGTACAGAGTTGCTGCCATTTTAATAAAAAATCAATGTATGTCCAAACACGAGCTATCCGTGTTAAGTCTACACACCAAATTTCATCTTGCACGCCTGTTTCTGAAGCTCTGTGCATTGCACGGTCTGGTCGTAAAAGTAAACGTTTGTCTTGGGGTCGCGGATTTTGAATTGGACGTGGAGATGGGACAGGCAGTTCCCCACGCAGCCACGACCAATAGGCTCCATCCGGTTGTTGACACTTGTAAGGAAGTCGTGGCAGTAGACGCTGTCTTGTTCCATGAAGTCCTTCTCCTCGGGGATGTACGTGTTGGGGATGGTCTCCATCATGTTCACCTTGGTGGACTCCACCATGTTATCTTTAGGGCAGGTGGTGTTGCATAGCATCTCATCGCTAATGATCTTGGCACTCACGGACTTCTCGAAGGCGCAGATGGAGCATATGCGCATCTTGTGCTTGACCATGTCGAAGTGGGAGGAGGACGACTGCAGGTCGGATTTGCTCACAAGGTGGTCAAGGCCCACATAGGTAACCTCCGGGTAGTTGGGGCAGTTGATGTGGATCGTGTCTTGAACGATGTTGTTGCGGTTGGGTCTGATGTCAACCGTGGTCTGGAACGAACTGATAGGAAGAGAGGAAGGGCAGAAAGCGTGGGCTTTCAGATCCACTGTGTCCGGAAGTCCAGGCTGAAAGCTGTCGGAGAGACGCCGATGGAAGCTTCGCAGGAGCCCGTTCTCATTTAACGAAGGCATGTTGTCCGCCGCTGATATGCCAGTGATTGCGACGCATGCTGTGTGAAGAGAATTCAAGATGGCACTACAGCTGTCGTAGACAATGTCAAGAAGCTGGTGCCGGCTTAACTTCTTCCGGACCTTCTCAGCCATCTCGGAGCACAGACTGTGGTAGTCGTGATAGACCTGATCGTTGATCTTATTGCACAGCTCGGTAAAGAGCTGAGCAGAAGAGGCAATGTAAGCTTCCTTGATCATGGTGGCGTTGTCGTTGTCCACTTTTCCAGGAAGAGGGAGGTAATAGTTGGAGGCAGATATGTCCTGGTCGTAGCAAGAGTCCGGCTCTTTGGGCCAAGGCAGCGCTGCCACGATGATCGGCTTATCTATACCGGATATCTCCCCCTGGACGTACGCTCCATCGTAATTGTACTGGCCTCCGCATTTCGTGACCTTCAGCGGGAAACGCGTGAAACATTTTACGCTCCCACGTCTGCTTCCGCTCATAGGATCCTTTCTCAGCTGGTGCGTGTCGGCAATGACCCTGGAGATTTGACGTAGAATGTAAGCGTTGGTGACCTCGACGATGGCAAGGTGAGAGATGGGCCCTTTCGTCTGCTCCGTAAACGGCTCGAAAACCTTGATCTCAATAAGCATGTCTGAGGTCAGCTCGTAATTCACAGTGACGCCGCTGGGAAGCACGACAGAAGCCAGGTTCCTAAGCCCCAAGAACCTCACAGATTTAGTGGATCCGCCCACGTCGGTCATACCCAGGGAGTAGATTGACTTGACCGTACCATCGCTCTTCTTCGGCCCAAAGACCTGAATTTGGGTGCCGTTGATTAGAGTGGCCGTAAAAAGCCTCGAGTCTCCCGGGTGCCAATAGGCGTCAAACTTCTGAATCTTGATATCAGAAAAGTCCGGTATGTTTGGCCGCGATGGTTGATAAGGCGAAGTAAATGTCCCTGGAATGTTATACGGAGGCTGCTGTGTCACCCCTTCCATATTGTCTAAGCGATTGTTGCTTTTGTTTTTATTGATTACATTGCTATCCATCACAGTGACAGGCTCCGCCTCCTTTTTGAGAACCGTGAAATAAATTGCTATGACCACGGCCCCGGCGATGACCAACAGCAAAAGAAGAAGAAGGATGGCCACCCACCATATCTTCCGCCTCGGCCTGTACACGATGCCAGAGCCAGTAGGGCGGTTTCCTCTACGACCCAGGTTATCGTCCCTGACGGGGTAGGCCACGCTGTACTTGTCGTGGAAGGTCCCTTGCGGGTACGCGAGTCCGTTACCGTTGATGTGGCGAGGGTTGTATATGCTGCTGTGGTCGTCGCTGCTGTAGGAGCTCTGCTGCTGCTGAAGCTGATGCTGATGGTGGAGGTAGGGGCTCTGGTGTAGATGGGCGTACGGTAGCTGATAGTGCGGCTCCTCTTCGCCATTCATGGGCAGATGGTGGTGGTGGTTGCTGTTGTAGTTGTTATTGTACAGAAGACGCTCCTGGGCCGACATTTCTGCCTCGTCAGGGTCGTAGTGAACATCCAATGTCCTCATCTCAAGATGGGTCATAATCTATAAATAGACAATAACATTAAAATTAGTTAGGCAAGATTAAGTTGACAATGGGATACATGTCTGACCTATACATATATATGTGCGTCTCTGTGTGTTTTTATATGGATTTTTAATCAGTCAATCGAACACCAATGCATTATTGAGTAATCGCATTGATTAGGTTCCCGGAAACAAAAAGAGCGGGGGTAAATGAATCGTTTGGCAGCTGTTCAAATCCACGTCGAGACCAAACTTTTAGATAGAAATTTCAAGAAACAATAGATTCTACCAGGTTTTAATGAATACCTGACCTATTTTTATAGAAAGTTTAAAAAAAAAAAGTGTTTGGTGATTGTAATCACAACATAACACCCTCATAGACCGTTGACAACATAAACACCCTCATAGACTGTTGACAACATAAACACCCTCCACACATTCGTTATACAATTCTTATTACAGTCAGTCAAGTTCGGAAGCGATGCTATTATATGCGAATGTTACAATATGTAGACCAGAGGGCCTAGTACACCAGTGATGTTACATCATATAGGTCGTATGATATTAACATCACATTAGAAAGCATTTCACATAAGACAACACTTAGAGATAAGAGTAAAAACAATAAGAGTCTACTAAGAGTAACCTTTTTCTCTGACAATTTTCATTAAACTTTTTTCCCCAAATCAATCTTGACACAGTGGAAAACACTTCATATGTATGTCAAGCTTTTGCTACTAAACAGTCCGTGCTAATAAGATTATCTACTACTACAATATAGTAGACGGAACACTTTTGAGTTGGGAGTTATTTGTATTATGCAGCGTTATTAAAAAGAATTATGCAATTAAAAGTGGTGCAATTTACTGTATCTACTGCATAGACTATATATATACAGGACTGCCAACTGTGCGCACCACGCCTATATTATTCAATTAAATAAGTCCCGTACAGCGAGGCGTCCTTGGTTGCAGTGTAGTGTTAGAAGAATGACTTCCGGTGAATTAGTTTACTAGATCTATATAAAGAAACCATCATTAAAGATAAACACTACGTTCAAAATATTTCTTAGTCATAATTTTGGTAACAGTGCGATAGACATAGCCAGATTTTTATAACAACAAAATCTGATTTACCAACTTAAAAAAAGAGCATTTACATTGATAGTGTTCTAACTAGTTTATATATACAATTAAAAACTTTTGTTCAAAAACAAATTATAGTAGTGTGTAAGGTCGTATATGTAGATATAGTTTATAGCCGTAGGTCACTAAGTCTGGGTCAAAGTTTACATGTTTACTACGTGTACAATTAATTTCTATTGAAGTAGGAACAATGACTATAGAATTCTGTTAGGTAAAGAAAAATTTGGAACAATCAATTTTTTTATGGCTTTAAGAATAATTGGATGTTATTTAGGATTTAATTAGTTTAAAAAATTAATAACTTGCAGAGCTGAAAGTTTTTATTCATATTTTTCAATTAGTCATAAATACACGATTGTTTGTAATTTTTAATGGCTTCATTCTCCATTAATATGTATATATAATGCATACTGCATGCTATCTTTAAAAAAACTACAAATAAATTTTAAAAAATAGGTATAGAATCTAGATACTCCGGTAAGTTAGTAAAGATGTCAGTGTGTAGGCTCAGGGACTCACTGTTGTTTTTTTTTAGACTGACTCACTCACAGACTTAACTTCTATCACCCATTATAGGCCTATAGGCTACCATATAATAAATGACAAATTCAAAACTGTATTGACTCTTTCATTAATCGCTTATTTATCTCATATTAATAGTAGGCTATACAATGTAAAAAGAAATTGCCAAATGTGATGAAAAGAGAAATATATTATCCAAGCTGGCATTATCATTCAAACATCGTGAATGTCATGAAATAAGTTTATACCGGAAGTACCTCATCTCACATTTTGGAGTTGAACGAAACTTATGCTTAGTTACCCTTAGTGTTGGCAGTCCTGTATATATATATAGTCTATGATCTACTGCAATAGGTGATACAAATGTATTTAGATACATCGTTACATCATTGGACGTGACAAGAAAAAAAACTTTAAAAAAACAAATCTAGATCTAAATAGTTTTAAAATTTACATAGTAAAATTTGAAAGCAGATGATTACAAAATGTTAGACTAAAAATACTAAAACTAACAGATAACTTAAAAATCAATAAATCAACATAGAAAAAGAGGCATAAAAATTTATATATATATATATATATATATGTATATATATACATGAAACATTACCCTTTACAAGAACATTAGTCACTAGATATATTTCCTTGCTGAGGGTTTTGGAGTGCACAAAATTTCAAAATGTAATCAAACTAAGTTTCGACAATATTTTTCTCACATCTTAGAATTTAGAAAAACTGGCAACATTAAATGGTTTACATCAGGCACATTTCAAGAATTCTAAAGATGCCAGTTTGTTGTGTACTCGACCGGAAGTATTCGCCTTAACAGACAAATAAACCTGGCTATAAAATTTCTCAGCAGACGACCAAAACTCACAAACCAAACTTCCTCAGTTCAAGACAGAAATAATGACTTCATTTTTTTAACTGCAAGGAAGAGTTTTAAAAAAATACC